TCGCCAACTTTTGAAGCCTGTTACTTCTTCTTGACGGGAAGACAAGCAAAAACCAACCCTTCGCGATTTCACTGGCGCCGTCTCAGCAGGGGTCGGCGGATTCCACGATCAAGTGATTGAGGTGCCCGCAGACACTACTGTCGGGGCAGTGTGTTCCCGGCTCTGCAAATGCAGAGTGCGCTTTTCAAAGCGCCAGTCTATCCTGCCGTCGTTGGGACGCTTAGCGGACTCTTCGCTGCGAATGGAGAAGTAGTGGTGGTGGTGGTGGTGATGGTGGTGGTAGCAGCAGCAGCAGCAGCAGCAGCAGTAGTAGTAGTAGTAGTAGTAGCAGTAGTAGTGTAGTACTCGTCGTCGTCGTCGTCGTCGTCGTCACCGTCGTCGTACCAGTCACAAAAGCCACAGACTGCCAAAAGGGGCAAAAGACCAGCAATAGAACAAAGGTGCTCACTATCTATGTGAACAGTCTTAGTGGCTTTCATTGGGGCGAGAGCAAGGCCTACGTTCGGGAGAAGGACAAAACTACGATTTCATCTTCCTTCAAGAGACGCACCGTACCTCCTCGTGCACTTTCAGGTTGACTGATAAGTGGACGGCTGTGGGCTCAGCCACAAAAAGAGGGAAGGGAGTTATGACCTCGCTTTCAGAAAAAAAGTGCCTGGCAGAGTACTTCGGGTTAAAGTCTGCCACAACACTTCGGCTGCTGGGACACGCAACGTCTATCAGCACGTTTGGGTACACACAGATGAGCCAGACCTGAACAAACATAGACGTCAATATCTTCTTGATAAGTGCGCGGCCGTACTGCAAGGCATGGCAAGCCGGAACACGGTCGTGGTAGCACGTGATTTCAACTCAGAGCCACGCAATACCCCACCGTTGGCCCGGCGAAATCTCCACAAGTCGGACTATCGCGATGCACTCGACCCTCATACCCCCACGGACTAATGACTTGAAGCTCTGAACAAAAGGCCAAAAGGTTGCCAAAGACAGAGGCACCATTTGTTTTTGGAATGAGATGACTCACCCGGCTGTTTCGGCGAGCATCAGAACCATCCGGCACCTTCACCTTCCGAATGCTGCCATAAGACCCCAGTGACAATACTGTAAAAACGCGCTGGGTGCTGCCTATAGGAGGGGTGAGTCGGTTATACAGGACATGCTGCGGATGGTCACACAGGAAATCGCCGGCATCCAATGTCAGGAAGATCCTAGCACTCCAGATCAGCATATTGCTTCAAACTGTGTGCAAGTGCTTTCCACCGGGCCGCAAAGGCAACGCAGGCCGAAAATATCTCTTGGAAAGATGCAAAGCCATCTTTGAAGCCTGGAAGCACCATACCACTCATCTTGATGACGTGGGAGGCACAGCTTTCACCTTGCCAGACCAAGTCTATCACATGTGGCAGCGTAAAGGGACTTGCGCAGATGCAGACCGTAAACGGCAACAGGGGTAATTCGACTTTGGAAATGGGTTCTACTTTTTATCAAGGTCGGAAGGCAGAGCAAACACTTTCATGCACACAGCCAAACAGCGGCTACCCTGGGCCTTCTTCATCAGGCTGAGAGGGCAGCACAAGCGCACAATGCTATTGTACGTAGAGCTGTTAAGAGACTAATCCCTTGGAAACCGCAACAGCGCGAAATGCTCAGACACCCGGATGGGTAACCCGTGTCACAGAAGCAAGAGCATCAAGCCTTGGTGGCACATTGCAATTAGTTGTTTGCTCCACCAGCAATCGCACCAAACAGGCCAGGCAGCAAGCTCTGCTTTCCCCTAACAGAAGCAGAGTGGCATGAGCAGTTGAAACGCACACCACTTGGCAAGGCCGTGCCAGCGGACTCATGTGGAAGCTATGCTCACAGGAGGTTGCCACAGCATTGGCTCGGTCTGCAGAGAACGCGCGGCAGGTGAATACCCAACTGCCAACAGCCTGGAGGGATCCTCAGCTAAGCTTTCTCCCTAAACGCCACAAGTCCCCTTCTAGTGCCTCTGCATTGCGTCACATTGGACTATTAAGGCCGGACGGCAAGGCCTTCGCAGGTCACATCAAGACCGTCCTACGGTCGCAGGCGAGACAAGGACAGCGCTCGCCGCAATACGCTTACCCTCCACAAAGGGACGCCGCAGATGCACCCGCGAGGGTTAATGCATGCGTTCAGCAGATGAAGGCGAACTTTTTTGACTTGACAACGCGGGCGAGAGTTCGGTCTCCACCGTGCGCGCAGGTGGCACGTGAACAGATCCTTCGGACCCGGTCTTTAAAGACTGTGCTAAGCTATTCAAAGCACATTCAGCCATCGGCACGTGTGCCAGCATGGCGCCCCGACACGAGTGTCAGCGAGCCGTCAGTACACACGGTTAAATGCAATACAATGCAAAGCAACAAAACGATTAAAGTTCAGAGGACAAGTAGATGACATATGAGCCTCGACTACTCAAGCTACTCAAACTGTGATCTCGGCTGCCAAGCTTCTTTGCTTTCACTTTGTCATCCGTCACAAACTGTGACCCATCGGCTTGAAACAGGATGCTTCTGTAATGACTCGTGGTTGGCAAGTCACCAATGTGGAAAGTAAGTGCGCAAACCCGGAATGTTCGCCATGCAACTGCACCGGCATGAAACACTGGCAACTCACAAGTGGCATCCACCTGCACCGGAGTGCAGCACTTGGCAACAGTGTTGTCATCGGTGCGAAAACGTTGCAGCACAATGCACACATGGGTCTCGTGTTCATGAATACAAGAGAAGTTTGTTTTGTCGGCCCAGATCTGAGATGCTTTCGTGTGCCAAAGCGCAACACACTCCCGCAGAGTGCGACGCTCGCCGTTTGCAGCGCCTGAAGTTGGCAACGGCATGAGAATCACGCCTGAGCCGGAGTCTTCAACCTCGAAGCATGTGTTGTCTGCACCGAGCCACACACCGGTCCGCCAACGGCTCACCCATTGAGCTTCATCCCCTTTGCGAAAGAGATGAAGCAAGAACTCGGATGCATCATGGTGTATGCCTGGCCTGCTCCACCCCACAAAAAGCTGCCTCCAAGACAGTAAGCTCAGGATGTTGTGTTCAGCATTGCGGCTCAAGCCTTGTAAGGAAGCGACTGCCTTGAGAAAAGCGTTGTGTCCTGCATGCGGGAGTCGAGATTGCAACCAGTGACCACAGGCCGTGACTGTAGCATTGATGTAACACTGATTGTTGGGGTTAGCAAGCCTTAGCGACCGCCATTGCGACTGCCCAGCCACTGAGACAGCCGATCTGCCGCTGGAGAGCGCTTGAGTCGATGCGGCCGAATCCTGATTGCTCCGATCACCCAAGCCTGGAGGTCCACCCAGTCCGTGAAAATTTGAAAAAGCGGCTCCGCCTCCTTCCTCAGTCCGATGTCCACATGAAAGGATACCGCGAAGCCCTTCATCTCCGGTGTCAGCTCTCGGGTTGACTGAAATCTTGGCGTGTTCTCCGGTCGAACCAACAGCTCCATGGCTGCATCGATCTGCTCGATGAACCTCGCCTGTGGAACAGGCTTCCGCATTTGATCCAGATAAAGATCCTCCTGCTTGGGGCACCACTTGCGATACACCCAACGGCCGTCCGCATCGACCCACTCCAACTTCTTCATGCGCTCCTGTTGCTGCTCGTCCTGCAACAACTTCTGCGCCCGTGCCTTGATCTCCATCAGGAGTGCAACCATCATGCTGCACCGCAATGGCTTGTCCAGCTTGGATGGCTCCTCGTTCTGAATCTTCTTCCACTGTGCCCACACCTTGTACATGATAGGTAGCATGTTCTCGGGTCCCGCCTCGTTCTTCATGGTCATTTGAAAGGACGTGTCCAGCTGGACCCGGTTGGCCTGGTCCACAAGTTGCAGAGTCACCGCAGCCATCAGCTGCACTGCCTCCTGCACCTCCATGCTGACTGCATCCTTCTTGCCCCTTCCCTTGCCCCTGCCTTTGCCCTGTGCTTTCTGATTTTTGTCCTGAGAACCTAAGGCGTTGTTGCTTGGTATGCGAGGGCGCTTGCCCGTCTTGCGATCCACATCCATGTCTTCCGCCTCCGTGGCCAGGAGTTGCGCTGCTTTGGCAAGTGCTGCCGCTCCCCCTACCGAGGGTAGCAGATCGCCCCACAGATCCTCCTCCTGCTTCAGTAGATCCTGCAGGCCCAATTTTGGAGGTGCAATGCCCTACGCTCAAGCATGACATCAGCATGAGTTGCAGGAGTGTATAAGGCAGTTGCCTGCATGCTGACGTCGATCAACCACGGCACTATCACAGGCTTGGCATGGTGAGGTTATGAACTGTTTCCAAAGTGCAGCCTGTGATTTGATGGCCTGCTCATGTGGCAAGAACTGATCAGAGTGCATGTCACGAAGGTGCTTACGAATGGACTTGCTGGGCATCCACTGATAACGCAAGGCACAACGCTGCTTGAGGTCAACGCAAAGGTCACGCTGTTCAAGCAGGGCTTCCCAGCCACGCTCGCGCAGGACAGAAAGAACTTCAGGTCTTTGCACATCCGGAAGCACAGCAGGCTGAGACAAGCTTTTGGCATAGGCCTCAGGATCGCCTCTCTCAAGTGCAGGGCAGCCTTGCCGGGCTATGTGTCGCTGCAGACCGTGCCACTTGACAAACTTCGCCCAACAATGCCTGCACACAGGAAGGCCATTAAGACCATGATCTCCTTGATGAACATCGACCTTTTCTCTGATCTTCTTATGGGCTTTCCCCTCATGTGTCTTAAGGTCATGCAAGTTAGAGAAAACCTGGTCACAGTGTGCGCAACGAAACGTGGCCTCGACATCGGCATCCTGGGTGCCCTGGGGGGGCGGCGAGGGAGCACCCTGCTGGATCGCTGGCTGAGAAGCGGAAGTGACAGCGGCTTCCGGTGTCACCACAGGAGTTTGTGTCCGCGCCTTGGCGATGTACGGCGCAGGAAGTGCATCCCTGACCTTGGTGGCCCACTGCAGTATGCTCGGTGCATCAAAGCAGGGCAGATCGATGTCCTGCCGTAACCGCTTGCAAAGTGTATCACATCTGTGCCTGACCAGTTCAACGCAGTCCGGAATGCCATGCTTGATCATGAAAAGTTGGTCTGAGTCTCCATCGACGTGCCTCGCCGAGCCAAAAATGGCCCGAAGGTGTCGCATGGTCTGCACATGAAGGAGCTTGGAAGCTTCAGCAGTGAGCCCTACCGCCTCGATTGCATAAAGCTGGGAGGTCTGCGCCATGATTTTCCAGAGTCTCAGACGATGACCAACGCTGAGCACGCGACGTGCATGCAAAATTTTGCGAAGGCGTTCACGATGCCCCGCCGCAACACCAATGCGGTGACGCACGGTGGCAACCTCGAAACCCCTGTAGGACAACATGGCGCCTAGATACAGAAACTGCTCAGCCACCGGGACCCGCTCGGCCTTGTCCGAGCCAAAATGAAAATGACGACTGCCCTTGGAATCTTTTCGAATCCAACGTTTGGTCCATTCCTTGGCCTGGTGGCCCCTGATGCTAATCAAGAAAGTGCTCTTATCAGGATTGGCTTGCATGCCCATCTCACGAAGCGCAATGAAAATGTTGCGGACCTCTTTGCGCATCTCCGTGAGCTCTTCCTCGGCATGGACCGTCCACCTAAAGCGGAGGTCATCGGCATACCGTGCCTCTTTTGGCAGTCCAGCCTTCCCCATTCAGAGCATCCAGCCTCCGTTGAATGTGATTTGTGAACAGGCTCCAAAGAGCTGGAGACAACACACATCCTTGCCTGACGCCGCAATGTAGATTGACATAAGAGACCTCGGTGCTACCCCTCCCTTGTATGCGGTACCGCCCCGTCTGGTGCCACTGCATTAGCACTGCTTGCTCGTCAGGAGACAATGAGCTCTCCGCTAATAAAGTTTGCAGGATCCGCCTCGGCATCAAATCAAATGCCTTCGACAAATCGATGGACAACTGTGCTCCGCCAACACACGAAGCCCTCTGAACTCCTGCAAATCTATCGTGAACGGAAAGAGCTTGAGCTTGCACCAATGTCCGAACTTCAGAGCAGTGAGATGCAATTCTGGCAATGGCTTCGATCGTGCTGCGGCAAGCCACATAGGCGTATTGTGGGGTTTCACGCATGGTGTCATGGAAGTGCGGCGTCAACCGCCATTTGAAGACCGTGGTGATTGCCTTTGCTGCTGCTGATTGCAGCGCAATAGGCCTGAGATCAGCCGGCTTCTTGGTGGTTTTCTGAGGCTTGGGCAAAAAATGTAGTGAGGAGTTTGTCCAGATCGATGGGGGCCAGAGAGGTCCGGGCTGCCGTCTGTGCGACAGGCAGGCACTAAGGTACTCAGCCAAGGGCGCAGCAAGAGCCTTCCAAGCAGCAGCCGGTGCCATGTTCGGTGCCACAGCCTTACGCTGTTTAAGCTGGCGAAGAGCATCGTACAATTCAGGTGTGGTAAGAGTAACAGCCTGTTGAAGATGCCAGTGTGTTTGTGCCAGCCTGGAGCTAGAGTAAATGGACTGCCAGTACTGAGCTAGAGCCTGGTCCTCCTGGGCAGGTGTGAGGATCCGTCCATCCTCGCCACGGATCTGAACCCGAGCAGTGCTCCTTTGGGGGGCGAGGCGATTCACTACCTGGAAAAATTTCAACGGGTTAGTGGTTTGTCCTGCCTTTTCAGCTTCAGCAAGCTGTGCCTGCCAATGTTCCCGTCTTCGTTGGCGACTTCCTCGCTTAAGCTCTTGCGTGCGCCGTTTCAGGAGAAAGTGCAGCTTCCAGGCCTGAAAAACCTGTCGACGCCCAGGCCAGAGCCAGGCAAGAGCTTTGAGGTGTCTGCGAATCTGCCAGGTCAGCGACAAGTCTTCGTATGTAGCAGGCTGTTGCCACTGGCGCGCAGTCTGGCATGCCTGGGCTCGAGGAAAGGCCTCAACGCAGACTTGTTGAAGAATGGTCTCTGCCTGTTCGGGAGGAAGCTCAGCAGTGAACCGATGCTGGTGTAAACGAAAAACCTGGCGTAGACGTTCCTGCTCAGGTCCCGCATTGCAAGCTTTGCAAAGGGCCTGGGTGTCGATCCGTGGAGTAGGCGGCTGTCTAGTGCGAAAGCGTTGCCATGCCTTGAGATCAAGCTGTCCAAACAGCGGAAGGTGCCTAGCTCCTTCGCGCCATGTGGCAAAACGAATCTGTGGTTGCGCTGCTGCTCTGTTGCCAGTGGCCTGCAGCGGTTTTGTCAGGATGAAGTCCACCCTGGATTCGGGTCCACTCGGATCAACATAGGTGCTTTGGTTGCTCCAGGTGTTGATCGCCTGCAGCGTGTGAGTGCGAAGCAATTCCTGAAAGATAGGTTGATCGCGTGCAACAGTGCGAGCCTTGCCCTTAAGGGTGTGAGTACAGCCTACATGTGTGGGGTCTTGCAGAAGATCAGTGTTAAAGTCACCGGCCAGGCAAAGCAGGTGCCTACTGGGGAGTGCCTCCAGGAAGGAGGTCAGTGCATTCCAGACAGCAGCTCGCTTATCGTAGACCTGCTGGGACTCAGAAACCTTGGCAGGAACGTACACGTTTACAAGATTAAGGAGTCGACTCTGGTGATCATCCTTGAGTGGCACTTGGACTTGAAGAATGCGGCCAACACGAACCTCGCGAGATCGAATGGCAGCCGGGTCCGCAAGACGTTTGTTGATCACTATCGCCACACCTTGTCCCGCGACTGGCTTCTTGCCAGAGGCAATCCAAGACCACTGGGGCAGGCAGTAGTCGCTTGATTCTCGCCATGTCTCCTGGATGAAAACAACATCGAGAGCATTGATGGTGGTGGGCGTCTCCAGCCAGAGACAGAGCTCATCGTACAATTCACCAGTGATGCCTCCGGCATTGATGCTAAGTACTGAGAGCAAGCTGGGGTCGCGGCGTGGCAAAGAGGAGCCTGCATTCGACTCGGGTGGCCATGAAGGCAGCCGGCCTATCACCGGTTTGCTCCGGGCCGTGGAAAGTGTCGGCCGTGCAGTTTGAGCCCCGGCCTGTGCTTGCAGATGCTTCCTGGTGAGAACTTGTCCTCGGTAGAATGTTGCTCCAAACCGTGTCGTCCGATTTTGAGCGCGCCTGAACGCCCTTTTTCGGGTCCCTGACATCACCTGCTCGTCGCCTTGCTTCGCAGATGCTTGTGCACCTGCAAGGAACGGTTGTCCCGCTCCCGCCGAGGTCGCGACACCCTCGGCAACCCTCGCTCCTCGAGCGCCGCAGACAAAGGTCAGGAAAAGAAGTACCCCCAGCCAACCTGGGCTGAGGTGCCAGCGGCGGCTCGTGCCGGACTTGGGACCGGCAGGGCTCAGAATCTTGATGTTTGGGTGGTGGCTGCAGCAAAAGCAGCACAAGGGAATGATAGTAAGCCTGAGACCACCAAAGTGAGCTGAAGAAAACGAGTCATCAGGCATGTCATCATGCAGTGGATGGCCTGGTTTGAAATCCACTGGCTAACTTGCAGAGCACGGCAAAGCTGCAGCAACACAATAGTCCCGACTCGTGATATGGAATCCAACATGAAACTCGCTACCAGATCGAAAACACATGGAGAGTGCTGAACCGAAGTGTGACATGCAAAGCTCAGTTCCGTAGCACATGTTGAGCAAGGCACTGATGGATGTGCATGCAGTCGGCTGCGATCCAGTGTTTTGCACGCGAGGCGTCGACGCCACGCTGTGACAGTGTCGCTCTGAAGCCGCCGCCGTCGGTAGCTTCGAGCACAAAGTCGATGCATCATATGTCTATCTGAGCCTGGCAGCAGTCGAAGATGGCAAACAGCCCGGGCGAAAGAGGCCGCAAGCAATGCAAGCAAAGTGAGAGGCGCACCTGACCCGATCAATCCATGCTCCCCAAGTCTAGGCTGCAGCCTCCTGTCCAGTGCATCGTATAGCGCCGGGGAGTTCGGTTGCACCCTGCTTGCCTGGTGGCTTGTGATCCGCCTTGCGCTCCACACTGCAAGCTCGCCTTGCAAGGACCTCCAATCAGGAAAGCAACTCCACACATCTGGAATCGCTGGAAGCTTCTTCGGGGGTGGGTGGGTGGGCGAGTGGCCCCCTGACCCCGTAAAGCACGCTGTTAGGGTGTGCTTTACGGGGGTGGGCGGGTGGGCGGGTGGTCCCGGACCCCGTAAAGCACGCTGTTAGGGTGCGCTTTACGGGGGAGGGAGGGTGGGCGGGGAGAATAACTTTCACAAAATACCTTATGAAATACCCTATAGATATCCTATAGAATGCCCCATAGA